GGACACAGAGGACATAATCACATGTTGTCACTGTGTAAAATCATATGCTTGTTTGCCATGTGAAATATTACCAATGTAGCCACTACCCCCAAAATTTCCCAGATAAGCAGATCACCCCAGATCCTTGTCTTCAGTGGTGCTTTTTCTCTGAGCACCTATGGACAGTAGCTAAAGACAGGGGAGAGTGAAGGCTAAGCCTGATTGTACGGCATGTGCTTTCAGATTAAGTCTCCAAACAACATTAAGTTAACTCTCCTCTTCCACTGACTGACAACTTCAAATGGTTCAATCAAAGGCAGCATCCATTTACACGGCGGACAGAACTCTAATCAACATACCTTAAGATAACATTGCTATGAGCAGGCAACGTCACAGGACTGGGAATAAAGAACGGTCAACCTTCAGCTGCAGCCTTATCCATTGGAATCAATGTGTTTATTAGGTTCAACACACTGACAGTTGGAAATTTCTTCCAGAACATTCCTGTCTTACTTATCTCCTTGCTCTCAATCCGGCCAAGTCATTTCTGTTCAGCCACAGCTTACAGTGTTATGTTTAAATTGTGTGAGATTTGCTGATATGACCTGAAAAGCGTAAATATAGATGGGTAATGTGTCAAGTACATGGGTTTAATGAACAATTCTACTTATGGTATTTGATCTGGGAAGCATGGCATAGACAGTGTTTTAACTATTTCAGGGCACCAAGTAGTTGATTTCTTTCCATTAAAAATATCTAGACCTAGGCTTTCCATTTGTAGTGGGGATTGGTTTGTGCTAATGCAATAATTAAGATGTATGAAATAAACTCCTGGAAGTTAAGGGAATGATGGTTACAAGTATACATGCAGTGAAGCCAATGAACCAATTTTTATTCAACGTTTTGGCACATAAATATAATTGTATATACATATACATATATATATGATCATTATCAATAATTAAAAACATGATTTGGCAGGAAAATGCTTCAAAACATGCAGGTCAAATGACTTCAGGAGCCACCTAACACTTTTGGGGTTGACATCCTGACCCTTCATGCTATATCTAATAAGTTCCCCAAGCACAATGCAGAGTGAACTCACCAAATTAATAACACCAGAAAAAAAAGAGGTATCAGGTCATTGCTCATTTAACAACCATGCAGAATTGAAACAAAATTAACCTCCTAACAGTATTTGGGATAATTTTTTTAAAGCAAGTAACTTTGTAAAATTCAAGTTGGTATAATCTTAAAAACATTAACCATTAAAAAGCATGCAAGTAAGCCAAAATAGGTATTATCTCATTAAAATATCCATCCCAAGCAGTTTACATGCTTGTGTTACTCTATTGTAAACTTTTTGCACTTTTTTTCTTCCAGGAGTGTATGCAATTATATATTGTAATGTTACATAAGATTCAAAATTTGGAATAAATATAAAGGGCAATTCCCATTTAAAATAAAATCCCATCAGAATTATCAGTGGAGGGTCAGTATCTTTCCATACTCTCACAGTAGACCCTGGACTGCTAATTCCCAAAACAGTACCCAAGATTGATATCAGCAAGCTACTACTTTTGGGAAGAAAACTTCTATATTTAACTATGTCTTATTTTGCCTAGATGACAACATAATTGGAAGGTTTTATTCATCGTGATGATATAATCCATACTTTTAAACAAATATCTCAATTTACTAGGACTTATGGACTGAATTTTATGCTCAGCCTTCCTCACTCAGGAAGTGGGATCCCACAGTTTAGCCAGAAAATGCTTTTTATTTCCTTTCGCTGCTAGTCACTGAAATACAGTGCAAAAAAATAATAATATTTTGCATGTGGTGAGGATGGCCTTACATTTGATGACTAAATGAAGTGATGGCGGGTTAACAGGTTTGCAGGTTATTACAGCAGACAAACTTTTTCAAAGTTTGTGTTTAAAGTTCTCATGATTTTTTAAAGATCTTAATGTAAAATGTTCAAAATATGTCATAGCATTGCGCAAAATCTATGTCCTTTTTTATCTACGTCCTTTAAAATAGTTTCCAACTGTTTAAATATAAAGTGTTCTCTTACTTAAAACCTAAAAATGAAATCACGTTAGGTGAAGAAAGGTCTTGATTTACAAAGTAAAAGCAATGAAATGTAAATGTGTCTTGGCGTTCTCTGACTTTAGTGCACTTTGTGGCAGTCACCAGGAGGGAGGTGATGAGCATTCTGCTGGAGCCCACTCTCTGAGGTCCTGATGCAGCAGTTTGGAGAGTCCTCCTTATGACTCCCCTCACTTTTAAAAAGTTCTAAGACAAAGTTTAGGCTGATGATTAAGGTTCATTTGTTGAAAGACTACCTCCTATGATCCATAAAACAGATCTGAAAAGTAATATATAAATGTTCTATTTTCACCCACCTAATAGCTGTGACATTTGTAATGGCTGGAGATGCTGATTAATATTTTCCACACAAGGCCAACTGTCTTCCTAGCTAAGTGACTAACAGCCCCATTCATAATAACATGAAACAAAGGCCACTCTCTCCATCATAGTGACCAACTCAGTAATGGAAAAGCATCCTCCTCACTGATAAGTGACATAGGCAAGGCTTATTTAAATTGTTGATTCCTGCTTATCAACACTGCCAAGCTGTAACCTCATTCTTCTGGCCAACAGGGGGCTTGCCCAAGTAACCCAAAAGACAGTGAGTATCAGGAAAAGGAAAAGTTCCTCTCTCAGCTTTCCAGAATTCCTCCCTCCTCTGAGTCTCTCTATCTCACCACCCTCTACCCCAGGGACAAGATTTTTCTGTGTAGCCCTAGCTGCCCTAGAACTCACTCTGCAGACCAGACTGGCTTCAAATCACAGAGCTCCACCACCTCTGCCTCCCAAAGGCTAGGTTTAAAGGAGTGTGCACCACCACCACCTGGCATACTTTATATATTTCTAAAAACAAATCAAAAATTCCTTTCAGCTGGAAAGGTCTGAGCCAATTAGAAAGAAAGACAAAATTGGACAGAAGATGACAAGAACTCAGGGGAACCGCTCTTCTCTCCAGCAATCCTTGACCCTAGACAGAATCTCTAAGTTTTAGTTCTCTCTCTCTCTCTCTCTCTCTCTCTCTCTCTCTCTCTCTCTCTCTCTCTCTCTCTCTCTCTCTCTCTCCCCTTCTCAGGGCAAAGAGAGGGGTGTAGCAGAGTCCTTAAAAGAACTCTAAGTGACTCCTAATTCTCCTCAGGCTTTGCCCCCTGCTGCCAGTCAAGCTTTTGGGAAATTGACTATCTCTTTCCTACATTCTAACTCACCAAAGCCAACACTGACCACCATGTTTGCGAGGGACTCTGCTGCAGAAAGAGAAGTGGCTTTGATTTGGCTAGGAGAAGGTGGAGAACAGGGGAATGAAGGTGCTCAGAGGTGGGAGAAAGTCAAGAAGGGCTTTGACTCAAGCCTAGAACAAAACTAGGAAGACATGAAAGGGAGTGGCAGCAGGAAGGACTAAAGCCCTGGGCTGAGGATCACCCCTTTCTGCACCCTGCACCCCAGCCACACACTATGTAGCTGTTTGCCCAGGGTGGAAGATAAGAGAAGAAAGTAAGGGCTTAATGGGATCTTCTGCACTCATCCACCCACTGCACACTATAGGGTTCCCAAGGAGTTTGAGGGCTTCAAGTCCATGATTCCAGTAACCACTCTGCAGGCAGTTCTGGAGTTCTGGAGAATGAAGGGAAATTGCAGGCATTTCCACAGATTCTCACTGTTTTTGCACCCAGTAGTTACTGACCTAGCCTAAACTGAGTCTAAAGCAATGCAGAAGCATGAGTTTTCCATGCATTTTCTGAGTACATGAGGGTGTGTGTTTTGAGGGAGTCTTGGCCTGCTCTGTCCTCTAAATCTTCCCTTTTCCATTATATCCTTGCAATATATATACATACACACATACACACACATATATATGTATTGAAAACACAAAAGTTCATTTTCTTTTAGGGCATTGTCAGCTTGTCCAAGAAGATAAGGCTAATTCCAACTTACTAAAGCCAGCCAAGAAAAACATGAGAGATGAGAGAGAGAGAGAGAGAGAGAGAGAGAGAGAGAGAGAGAGAGAGAGAGAAAGTGAAGAGTCAGAGTCTTAGGTGACTAAACACAAGAGTGCCAACTGCTGACAGGCAAAGGAACCGGGATTTGTTTGGGAGCACTTCAAAAGCCTTCCAATTAATAAGCTCACCCTTCGCCCTTCCTAGGTCCCAAGTCTCTTGAATGTAGGCTTTCTGAAGCTGAGATTTTGTTCTGATTGTAGAGAGTGGTGTCCTGCCCCGTAGCAGAGACGCGCGGACTTCATCTTCTGTTCATTCATGCATTTGCTCATCCATTCACACAAACATGTCCCTTAATTGTGTCTGGCACTGAGACTCTTGCCTGCGATTTCCCCTTCCCAAGTCAGTGCTCATGGCAACGGCTGGTGCAGAATACAACTCAACTGTCACCCCATTTCCTGAGCCAGAAAAGCAAGTCCTGTAGACATTCACAAAAAGGGGGGAAAGAGTTGTTTTTTTTTTAAAGGATAAAAACGTGGAAAGGAAGAAAGCACCTGCAGGGAGAGGGACTTCCCAGTCATTAAGGGATGGGAATGTGAAAGGGACTCAAGGGGGTCACATTCCAAGGTTTCAGTTAAGGGAAACCGCGTCAGTGACACCGCGGCTTGCGAGCAACCAAACCGTTATTAATTCCAAGACTGCAAGAGCCCGTGTTCCCCCGCGGGGATAAATCAAGTGCAAAACCACTAGTTCCCGCGAGTGCGAAGCTGTTGGCCCGACCCAACTCAGAACCCCAGTCGAGGAGCCTGGGGAGCCGCTCACAGCCCAATCCGCAGCGCGCTCGCTGCCTCCTTCCAGCTCCCAATAACGTGATGAAGTGTAAATCAAATGCCACGCCAGGAGGGGCCCCGGAACGGCGCGAGTCGTGCATCTTAGCTCAGCAGCCTATCTTGCCTAGGAATCACAAGGTCACGATAGCGTCGCGATTCCACTCACCGTACACTCCTTGGCCAGAGATCCCCTCCAGGAGGACTGTCAGCAGCCACACGAGACCGTACACTAAATCCATCTTCACGTGAACATAAACATATCCAGCCCAAGGGGGACGCAGTGGAACCTTCCGGAGGCCAGCGGCCAGTCAGGCGCGCTCCACTTGTGCCCGGGCCGAGACGAGGTTCTCAGGAACTGTTCCCGGTGGAAGGAAGCTCTGTCCGTCTGTCCTTCCCTGGCGGCGGCCGCGAGCAGAGCGCTGGATCCTCACACACCCCACACTCATGCACACACACACACACACCACACACACAAGCAAACACACACACTCACACACACGCACGCACACACACACACAGACACACACACAAGCACACTCGCGAACACACTCCCACTACACAATACCCCGATACACGCACTCACACGCAAGCCGCACTCACAACGGGCGCCTGGGAAAATCGCAGACGCCGGGGAGGAGCAGGGGGCGGTGATGGGAAGCAGAGCTGCCAGGACAAGTGTTCTTCGGGGAAGCGTTGCTCTGGCTCCCGGCGCGGGCAAGCGGCAGGCGCGGGCAGGGGCCCCGGGGGCGCAGCGCAATGCAAACCGCGGTGGACAGCCGGGGAGCAGGAAGTGGCCTCTGACCTGGCCACGAAGCGGGGCTCCCTTGCCCGGGTTCGCCTTTACAAAGTAACTCGCGAAGGTCCCCAGAGGAGCGTCAAGCGGCGGCAGCGGCTCGCCCGCCCGCAGTCCGGAGCCCCCAGCCCTGCTGTCTTGCCTTCCCCCATTCCATCAGTTGCCATTGCAACGCCAATCCTGTTACACGACACAGACTCGCATCGCCGAGCGGGGAGAGGAAGAGGAGGAGGAGGAAGAGGAGGAGTGGGAAACGGGGGATGGGGAGGAGGGAGAGGAGGAGAAGAGAGGAGGGCGAAAGGGTCCAGGCGGGAGCGGAGTGCCCGTCTGGAGCTCGCCAGGCACCAGCCTCAGCCGCTGCTGCCACCGCCACGGCTCTCCCCAACAGCCTTGAGCGCCCCGCCAGAGAAAAGGGTGCTTCTGCCTGCAGCACCGATCCCCGGAGCTAAGAACAGAGTCCGAGCACCGCCACTTGTAGGAGAGGAAAGACGCCGAGCGAAGAGCAGATCCGCACACCGTCCACGCGTGCCCACCCGTACCGCGCGTCCTCTTCGTTTCCGCGCCGCCCCCGCCAGGTGGAGGGGGTGGGGGCGGTCGGGACTGGCGGGAGTTTAGACCGGGGAGCCGCAGAAGGGCTTCCCCACCAGGGCTACTGGAGTGTTGGCATCCAGAGCAGAACCGAGGAACAGCTGCCCGCTGAGGGCACCCTGGCTGCGTGGCTGCCTCGCGGGCCGCAGTTGCGGCAGAGATGCCCGAGCTGGGCGGAGGAGCGCCCCGGGCCCTATGCTTGCCCGGGATCCCTGGATTGGCGCTGGGGGGTTGCGCTCCGCGGAGGCGAGAGGAGGGAGGAGTAGGAGGATGGAGAAGCGGCCGACGCGGAGCGCAAGCGGCCGGGCTGCCAGGGAGGAAGGCTGTGTGTGGTCACGTTGTGCGCTACGTGCTGAGAGCGCGAGGCTGCTAGCCGCAGCCCGGCGACGTCAAAGCCGAGTGCGCGGCTCGGCTGCCTTCCTCTGAGCCCCCTCTGCTTCCAGGGCTCCTCCTTGGCTATGCCAGCCCGGGGTCAGCCCTGGAGCTCATAAGCATGGACAGCGCTGAGGGGCTCCGCGGGGCAGCAGCACCCAGTCTTTCTTCTACCCTGCTGAGGCCCTCCCTGGTTCTCCCTAGCTCCGTGGGGGCGCGGGTTGGTAATTCATTTCCGATGCCACTGCTGCCGTCTGCACGCAGAAGGGAAGGGAAGGGAAGGGCCGTCTACGTCCTTAGACACGCGGTAATTACAGGACACCTTATTCTCTTCCTACCATCCAAGGTCTTCCAGGATCCGCTCTGCTTGGCTAGAGGGCAGAACAGGCCAAGGCATTGGAAGCCGCATCATGCTTCTCGCTCTCTGTCATATTTTAGTGGAAATATTTTCATCATATCAGAGGAAGTCCGCGGGGGAGGAAAGAACACCAGGAGTTCAGAGAGGGTCGGTTTTTTTTTTTTTTTTTCCCTAAAGTTAAATGCCTGGAGAAGCCCTTCTTTTCTGAGGATTCTGCCTCTGAGATGGGACCAGCTCTGAGGTGCTTAAAAATTCCCTATTACAAAATGATGAGAAAGTCCAAACATCTTTAATTTACACTAGAACAAGTGTAGAACTAATTCACCAGAATGTAATGGGGGGAGTATCTGAGATCATCTGAGTTGCTTTGGTATGTTTCTTACTCAAATTAGTGTTTAATATCTACAATCCACTTAGCTCAAACATGGTAGGAAAGTGGGTGAAATGGTTAAATATGTGCACTTACAAATGTGAAAAAGTTATTGTCAGGAAAATCTCGAGTACAGTATTCATTTAACGGTCCCCATGATAAACTGGTATAACACACTGCCACTGCGGGGTCCTTCTATTCATGCGGTAGTTCTGCTGAGGAATGGGAGGGGGAGGACTCCCAAGCACTAGAAATGAATAGCCCTCAGTATTTTCACCACCCTTCCCTCCCTTGGTGAATTGTGAATAAGATTTTTGTAGGGTGTGAGCTAGTGCTATCTCTCTTGGTTTACAAGGAATGAAGAACCATGAATTTCAGAGGGTTTCCAAGGATGGCTCACAGGGTTGAGAACCCTTCATGTAAGAGAGACCGCTTTCTTTAGATGGAGTGAAACTCACTTGAGAAGCAAAATTCAATGTGTGGTATTTCTGAAAGGAAATAACTGAGGTTTACTTGCTGGTAACCTCGGGGTGGAGGGGTGGGGTCTTATGCTTTTGTCGTATTGGAAATATCTTGTTCCTATACAGTGCAGCACGGTGGTTTCCTGGGAGTGCCTTTCTCTTACATGCAAGCTCAGGATATGTCTCATGTGGAGTTCTATGAACTATTCTAATCCTGTACTTCACCTCCATATTTATACTACATATTTAACCCTTCATTGTGCAATCATTGGCTCAGTGTGTCACCCTGATCATTCAGAGTGTCCCTGTGGTAAAGAAACCCAGAAAGCTACGTGTGGCTCTGATGTGGTTGGCTGGTTACACTCCACACCGTGGGCATGGGAAGTTTATTTCTACTGAATGTTTAGCTCTGCATAGGTTTTTTAAATTACCATAAATCCCTCGACAATTTCTGAGTTTTGGAGTTTGGAAAAAATGTGGATAATCTGATCCTTTTCTATTTATTTGAATAGTTGAATTAAAAATTTGGGAAATGATAATGTACAGCTACACTGTGACAAACACTGTCCCAAATAACAGATCAAGGATTAGCACCCATGACTCTTCCCCTCACTCAGTTTCTGGGGGAGGCAGGATGTGTTTTCCAATATATGCATTGCCACTGCAAGTGTTTTCCAAATTCTCTTAGAACACAGAATAGGGACAGTTATGTGTTGTATTGTTTTGTACAAACATGAAGAGAAAAACTACACTAGTCTTAATGTGTGCTTTTACTTTCCTATAAAAACATATAGACAGCTTACAGACTGAATTGGTCAGCTTATTTAATTAAGTTTTACGTTCTTCTTGAAATTCAACATTTCTTTTTCAGGCTGCACTGACCAAGCTGGCTTGATGTTGTCACACCTTAGCACTGGCTCCTTCAGGCCTCCAGGTGGTGAGCCTGAGCTGAGCCTGAAAGGCAGGCAGGAGATGTCCTAGCAGATAGAAAGTGCTATGCCAGAGACAACAGCCGGAGAACTTGTTACCCAATCCACAACAGGACACTGTATGTAGCCCATTTAGAGGAGCTTCCTGCACAAGAAGTGTGAGTCACGTCTTAGATCACCAGTTTGTTTGTTTGTTTTTTATTTACATATGGAATATATCTGTTATACGGAATTTAACACCTGAAGTAATCCTCCTCCTCCATGACACTGCTAGCCTGAGCCACTCAGCAGTATCCTGTACAATTGTGGACACTATCCAGTGTGATGACGAGTCATAAAATACTTAGTGGCTATTCCCTGACAGCTTGAATTAGGTTAGTCCACTGTTGCATGTTTGTTAACCACAGTTTCATTAGCATTAAGTATTCATTTAATATTTAATACTTCCTTCTCTATTCTCTAATATGAGCATAATGTTTCAACCTAAATAGTGTGAGTGAGACAATGTCAATGAAGAGCTTATAGGAACCACTCAAGACAGTGGGACAAATATTAGATAGGAAAGATAGACCTGGTGGCATATACCTGCAATTCCAAGTACTCGGGAGTATGAGGAAGGATAACAGTGAGTTCAAGTCCAGCATGGACTGTACAGTAAAGAAGCCAAAAATGAAATACTAATTCTCGAAATAGGACTGAGAATGGAAAATGCAAAACATCAATGACAAATCTGTCTTGATTTTTCCAATCTAGTTCCTTATCATAATACAAATACTAGATCTTGTATACTATATTTATCCTACTTCCTGTTCCTCTGGCAGACAGTTATAGCACACAAACTCCAATCCACAAAACTCCCTTAGCCAGATTATAAAAAAGGAACCAGGGATGAGAAACATCATTATTGATCTACATAAAATATTTTTGGGAATTTTACTCACAGACAAAATCCATACTTAACTATGTTTGCTCTAATATTCTTAGTCACAGATTTCTCACCCTGCGCAGGCTGGCATGGCTGTCAGCCAGCCTAATTAACTGTATATCTGAACCCCTATTTAAGCTCACTTCTAGTATTTCCAAAAATTTGGCAAGCTCAGTTTTTCAGTAGCTCAGTTATACACCTGAGACCCAACTATCCCTTGACCAAAAGGCCAATCTTTTTAAAGATAGCTCAGATTACAATAAAGTTGGATAAAATCTGCATGCTGGAACTAACTTTCTAATTCACAAAATCTTCTACACCAATAAAAGTTTTCTTTTACTAAATTCCTGTTCATTAGGCTTTCTTTCTTTTTGTTTAGTAATAGATGCCGATCTTAAAAGTCTGAGCACCATTGCATGTAGCTGATGATCTCAGATGACTAATAAAGACAAGAAGCGCAGCATTGAACTAGTGATGTCCCAGCTGGTCCCAAACACAGGTGGCAAGTAGTGACACTTTAGCAGTGCTGTCTACCTCACAGTGTTAGATATGAGACAATGGCTGGTTTGAGGAAAGAGAATCGACCCTGAACAAGACTTTAGTGTGAGCAAAGAGAATGAGAATGGCAAGTGCTAATACTGGAAATAAAGGACTTAAGGTGAATTCCACTGAAATAACAATCTCCAGTGAGACGGGCAGCTTGAGGAAGGGACCAAACTCCAAACAAAAATCCCCCCGGACAAAGCAAATCCTGAGTCCAGAAAAGAAAGAAAAAACCAGTTAGGTGCCTAGGAAAGAGACATATATGCAGATACCGGTGGTCTGGCAGGATGCAGATGGTGGGGCTAGTGCCTCCATATTCACTGTGGCTGCTGCAGAGAGGTGTCAGGCCAGCTAACAAAATCAAGAATTTTGAAGCTCTTCACATTCTGTTTTCATCTTAAAAGCAGTAGCATAATTTGGAGAGCTTTCACTCATTTGGGAAAGAGTATTACTGTCTTATATGCTATACATTTTGAAAGCCAAGCATCCTAGTCCTTAGTTCTAGATATCCTGGATTGTGTACCCCACTCTAGATTTCTGTTATGTACCAGTTATAATATTGAACCCATGATTAGAAGCCTACCCTTAGATATTATTGGTTTGGCAGTTTTAGTAGCCTGTCCTAGATAAATTCTAATTCTGTCTCCTTTGTATTCTGTCTTGAGAGGACATTAAATAGTATCAGAATAATAAGAGTTCAGTAAAGAAATGTACTGTGCAGGGCAAGAGAATGAAGCAAATAAGAAAAGGACTCAGTGTTTATATACGCATACCCTGGGCCTGAATTATACAGTGGGACCCTAACATTTTTGTCATGTAAAATGGAAGGAGGAATGACATGTTAGGATTTTAAAATAAAATAGCATCTATGAGGTATCATACTCAGAATTTGGCAAGTTGAAATAATTAATTTTGATATTGTTCTGATAATATTTGTTAATTCAGAGCTTTCATGTGTGGGTTAATGACAAGTGATTTTCTTCTTGCATATCTGACATCTTCTAATCTCCAGTTTGATGGAGGAGGATCATCTGTCTATATGTTACTTTCATTGGTTAATTAATAAAGAAAACTGCTTGGCCTGATGGGTCAGAAGATAGGTAGACGGGGAAGACAGAACAGAATTCTGGGAGAAAGAAAGCAGAGTCAGAGAGCCACCCACCATGAAGCTGCTAGGTCAGACATGCTGAATCTTTCTGGGTAAGCCACGAGCTCGTGGTGACATACAGATTATTAGAAATGGTTGAATCAATATGTAA